TGGACACTTGGATCGTGTCCATCGTCCCCAGCCCTGGGGGCCTGGGTTCCAATGCTGCAGCAATTCCTCCATCCTGGCTGCCCAGCCACCTCAGGCCTCCCCTTGGCCTCCCACTTAGGGCTGGGCCTGCCTGAGTGCTGTCCACGCCTGTGGTGCTGAACAGGGGGACCAGAGAGAGGCCTGGGCTGCAAACCAGAGACCGAGAGTAGAGAAGATGAGATCGAGCAAGATCGAGCAGGAGAAGTTCAAGTTTCGATCCCTGGCTCTGCCTCTCACCTGCTGAGGGACCTTGAGGAAGTTGCTTAACCCCCTCTGAGCATCAGCATCCTTATCTGTAAAATCGGGTTGCTATGACAATTAAATGGCAGCAACCATGTAAAGCATTGGCATGTTGAGAAAATCGGTGATCATGTTTACTCTGTTGTTCTAGAGACAGTAAGTGTAGTGGTTAAGCTTTTGGACATGGGAGTGATGATGCCTGGATTTGAATCCTGGTTCTGCCACTGACTGGATAATCTTGATCAGGTGACATGACCGTCCTGTGCCTCAGTTTCCTCATTTGTAATTTGGGGCGAATAGGAGTCCCTGTGTCATAGGATGCTGTGAGGAATGGATGAGTTAATTTATGAGGCAGCTGGCACTTGATGGGTTCCCTCAGTGTTAGCTATTATTAGCACTTTCTTCTCTGTTATTCTCGTCACAGCACCTCCAGCCTCTCTGTTCAGTGACCAGTGTCACTCCCAGACGCTCCCATCTCTGCTGTGCTTGGGGCTGTGGCTGCTAGACAGAAGCAGCTCCTTGTCCTACAGACACCCTGGCCTCTGGCCCAGCCCTGCCACGGACTTTCTATGTAATTTTGAGCAAATCACTGTTCTCTTCTGGCCACCAGCCTCCACATCTGTAAAATGGAGCTGACGATACCCCCACCCAGGCCCCTGGGAAAATAGCGTTGTGCTTTGCAGGGTCACATTCAGGAAAGCCAAGATATAAAAAGTTACAACTTCCCAAACACAGCAGAGAATTATTCACCCAGCATTTGTCACACCCTGGCTAAGTGTTAGAAATAGCAAGATGATTAAGGCATGGGGCTGGCTCTCAAGGAGCTCCTAGTTTCTTGCGGCATTGGTAAGCCCCTTCAGGGTTCATTCATGTGTCACTTCCTCCAGGAAGCCATGCTAATCCCCACTGCTGTGCCCTCTGTGGGAATGCTGGAACACTGCCCGTTGCCTCCCTGGCCTTCTGGCTACCTGGGCCCTTGTTTTACCTGCCTTCCTAATTTGTAGGCTCATACCCTCTACCTGATACATCGCTCTAACCTCCTTGCCCCTTGCCGGCACCCAGCATGGTGCCTGGCTGGAGTAGATATGCGGCTCTATCTGCAGTCCTTAGGTTACAAGTTACATCAACTCAACTCAAACCAGCTTAAGTCAAAAGGGAAATGTTTTGATTCATGAAACAAATGTTCAGGAGTATACCTGGCTTTAGGCATGCCTGATCCAGGCATTCAGGGCCATCAGAAATCTGCATCTTTCAGCTCTGCTTGTCTCTCTGCTGCCTCATTGTCAGGCAGGCTCTCCTGTCCTGGTGGCAGAACCAGCCCCCAGCAGCTCCAGGCCTGTGTCCTGCAGCCTTGCAGCTCTGAGGTCAGAAAACCCCCCCTTTCCTGAGATCTACAGCAAAAGTCCTAGGACTAGACCCCTAGGTCACCTTGGATCACATGTTCATCTCTGAGCCAGTCACAGTGACCAGGTGGTGGGGTGGATCCCTGGGCCAGGCCTGCCCTGCAAGCCAGGGTGGAGACGACCCTACTTAAAACCACATGAGCCGAGAGAGGCCATTCCCTGAAGAAAGGGAAATTGGTGCTGAGCAGGAAAAAACATCACAGGCCCATTCAAGAAACCACAGAAAATGTGTGAGCTAGGCAAGAGGGGGGTCCAGTCTGCCTCCAGTAAATGGATCTGACCGTGCATATAGGGGGCTGGAAGGGAGGAACGAGGAGGCAGGTGAGGGGAGATGTGGGGGTGTGCGGAGCTGACTCAGCCACCCAGACGAAAGGAATGACGCTGCAGCCCCTTGCTTTACAGAGAAACAAAGTGAAGCAGGTGAGAGGGTGGCTGTCCCCACTCGGTACCTGCGGTTCCATCTGGTGGCTGCTTTTTCATGGTGACTTTTAGTAACACTGACCCTGAGAGGTGACTCACCCAGGAACATTCATCCATTCAGTGGCATCCTTCCCCTTCTGTGTGGGTGGGGGGGGGGGGGGGGGGGGGGCTTTGTTAAGGATCCCCTTGGGGTTTGCCTGTGCTAAGTAAGAGACAGCGTGGGTCCAGGGACCTGAGGGAGGGGACCTGGGCTTGGGGACAGAGAATCTTAGAATCCCAGAGTGAGAGTAAAGAAAGGTCTGACTGATATCATTTGGCCTAACCTCACCCTCCACTGATCACTGATTCCCGGACCGACGGGCATCCAGGGTCTGCTTGTCAACCCCACCCCCGACACCCCACCTCCGTGATGGGGACTGAGCACCCTCATTTTTAGTTGCTATCTGCCTGGGTCTGCCTTCAGGAGCCACGAAGGACACAGTGCATGGAAGGACATGGAAACCTGATGGCCTGAGTTCAAATCCCAGCTGTGCCGATGGTTAGCTCTGGGACAAGTTACTCAGCCCATGTGTGCCTCAGCATCCCTTCCTATAAAATGGGGGTAAGAGTAGCAGTACCTGCCTCCCAGGCTTGTGATTATTAAATGACTGAATCCACGGTGTTAGCACACCTAGCATATGATAGATGCTCAATCAATATTTGCCAGTATTATGATTCTCCCATGAGACAGGATAGGGACAGGCCCCCTTCCCTTACAGGCTGGTCATCCTCCATCTGCTGCTATTACTGGATTCTTGTCATTTGGTTGCCAGTGTCATTACCTTGTCTGACCCCACATGGCAGCTGCACATACTGAGGTTCAAATATTACTCTTTTGCTCACTTGCTACAACATAACCCTTGAATTAGGTGGTGTTCCAGCTTCTATAATGAATAAGCCCCTATATCTCAGCAGCCCTAACACAACAGAAGTTTGCTTCTGGCTCAGATAAAATGCAGAGCAGATAATCCTCATCTGCAGGAGGCCCCCCCCCACACACACACACACGCAGGCACCCAGGCTTCCACTATCTTGTGGCTCCACCATCTTTTTAGGGTCTGGGGATCCTCGGTAACCAAGCCAGCATTCGGAAGAGAGAATGCCGAAGCTACCCATTCTTAAAAGCCCCAGCTCAGTAGTGACGCATGTCATGTCTGTCACGGTCCACTGGGGAAAGCCAGCCCCGCGGCCACACCTGGATACAAGAGAGGAGAGAAATGCAGTTCCCCGAAGACCACTGCTTGCCAGCAGCAGCTCTGTATGATAGACAAAGAAACCGTTTGGGTGGACAGTTGGCTGTCTGTGCCGTAACCCTAGTAAATCATCAACCTCTCGCACTCTGTGCTTGTCTATAAGATAGAAAACATTGCTTGATTGTGGGCATGGCTGGCTGCCCATTTACTAAAATCACTAAATTGTTCACTTACTTTGGGAGAATTTTGTGCTATGTAAGTTACACGTCAATTAAGCTGTTTTTAAGAAATAGGAAGTAGGTCGCCCCTTCCCCTCAGGGTGCTGGCGAGGACTCAGTGACTGAAGCTTTGCCAAGCTGGTACTGTGTATGTGGGGGGGGCAAGCCTGGGTTGGGTTAAGCATTGGGTATAGTTCTCATAGGGCGCCCTGCTTGAGCGCCCGCCAACAGGAAGCACTTCAACCTTGCTTCTTGCTGGGGGAACTCCCCCACCTCTGTGGCCCTGCCAGCCTATGGCAGGAGACCCCACCCCCAGGGCCAGAGCCTCTGTGGTCAGAGCCACAACTGCTGCCATGAAGAGTGGGTGACACCCTCCTGCCTTCAGCAGCAGAAGTGTGAAACCGAGGGCCTCCCTTGGGGCCATCGAGGATATCCATTGGAGGTGTGAGTCATGTGGAGTCCCCTGGGGCAGCACAGTCAGCTTGAGTGTGGACAGATGCAGTGCCAGCTCTCAGGGTCAGCCAGGGGCCTCCCTGCTGGCTGCTGGGAGGTTCACAGCGATCACGCCCTCAGTGGCTTCTTAGAGCACAGGAAGTGATGATGATGTAGATAAAACTCTTTTAGGTCAAGTTCCCTGCTGATGCCACACAGATGCCTTCAGCCACTCAGTGAGGCAGGCGTGTGGATTCGCTCTGGGCTCGTGGCCCCACCTGAAGAGAGGAGGTGGTTCCATCACTTGGACCGATGTGGGGACTAAGGGAGTTAATACCCTGAAGTGCCTGACTAGTGCCTAGCCCCCAGTCAGCTCTCAACAGGGCCTGCGCATCCTGGGCTGAGGCTCTGCCCTTTTCCGGCCTCAGTTTCCTCACTTGGATACTGAGGGTTCTGGAGGAGTTGCTCCAACTCTTTCACTTGGGAAAACATAGTAGTTAAAGCTCCAACTCTCGAGACATCCCAGCGCGAGCTTCTGACCTTGGGCATATTATTCTGTCCCTGCACCTCACTCTCCCTGCTGTGGGGGTGATAACACCCACCTCACGGAGCTGTGATGGTGCGATGAGTTCACCTGTAGGACAGGGCCTGATATGTAAGTAAAATGTAAGCGTTAGCTGCTGCTGCTGTTATTATCATTATTTTCTTCATCGTACGAGGTGGAAACTGAGGACCAGAGAGGTGCTGTGACTTGCTCAAGGTCAGCCAGCTAAAAAGTGGTACATGTTAGGATCAAGGCCAAGCCTGCTGAGCCCCAAGGCCCGCGCTGTTCCCATCGCTCCCCACTGCGCCTCCTAAGTCACATGCGCCATAACTGGGTCAGAGGCAGCGTGTACCTGGGGGGGTGATGCAGCAGCAGGGACGCTGTTCGGATTAGTTCCTCGACACCGCTGACACCTTGCAGAGAACAAGCCTGAGAGGGAGAGGGAGGTGGGGAAGGGGGGAAGGGGCAATTAGGATGACCCCCAAAACTGGACCCTAGGCACCAAGGGATGAGGGAGAGTTGATCTGACGTAGCCCCAGCCCTCGGGAGCTCATGCATGGCCTGTTGATGGGGACAGACAGGGAACCGCTGAGAACACCCCAAGATATTCAACAGGGGCCCTGAGAGAGACAGACCCTGCCTGAATCCTGGGGCAGCAGGGAAGGCTTCCTGGAGGAGTGGAACCTGAGGATAATGAGACCCAGAAGTTGAGGTGTGAGGAAAGGGAGGTGAGGGCAGGCAGCAGGAATGGTGGAGGAGGCTGGAGAGGGGCAGTGCAGCTCAGTGGTCAGAGTATGAGCTGAACCTGGGGTGAGGGGGCAGATGTGGGGCCCAGACCCACCCCTGTGTGACTGTGCCCCTGGCCTAGCTCGGTGCCCACCCAGGGCAAGTCTGACGCCACAGTAGCAGGGAGGGGCCAGGCACCATCAGGGCTTCTAGCAACTTGCAGCTGCCAGCCAAGGTCCCATGGGATATGGAAACAGACGTGAACTGTCGGGGCCAAAGCCTGAAGCGGGAGCGTTGCACACACAGGGCCCATCCACCTCAGCAGCCCTGGGGGAGGGGGGGGTCCACACACACATCAGAAGTAGGTCAGCAGAGCAGCCCAGGGTATCTCCCTGGGGGGCAGGACAAAGAGGACAAGTACTCATCTGCGCCCCTCAGGGGGAGCCCCACTCCACAGAAGAACCAGGCGCGCACAGCCTCAGCACTCCCTGCTGAGCCAGAGCCAGTGCCTCGGCTCTCACTTAGGATCCTCTCCCCCAGGCCTGAAACCAGGGAAGAGTAGTGGGGAGATGTCTCCCACTTCAGCCCAGTTGGTGGCTGCAGCTGGAGGGGCAGAGCTGGGGCTGCAGAGACGTGGTGACGGCGCTGTGGCAGGGTCCCACACACAGGGAGGGGATGCAGGACCGGGTCTGGGAAATGGGTTAGAGACACTGAGGCCACTCGTGTGGCATTTCAGACACCTGGCGTATGTGCAGGCTAAAGGAACTAGGAGAGGAAGGTTGTCAGAACAGGCTGGTTCACGAGCGAACAGAACCCCTCCATTCGTTCGTGAACCAGCGGAGGGGACAGGACTGAATGGGGAGCAGGAGCCTGAGGAAGCAGGAGGGGCGGGAGGTGGGCTCCTTGCTCCCCCAGCCAGCTGGAGGATCGCAGATGGAGCTGCCTGTGGGGCTTGGTGGGAGGCCAGGAAGTTTCCTCCTGATGTTTCTCCTCTCCCGGTAAAGTGGGAGGCTGGGTCGTGCAGAGAGGGAGGAAAGCAGAGGAGGCGAGGAAAGTTGCCGTCTAGAAGGGGAGCAGCTGGGAGGCCAGGCCCCTGCTCCCAGCCTCTGGCCACGCTCAGCCAGAGAATGGCCACAATGATGAGAACATACCCACACCTGAACCTGATAGCGACGGAGCACGCACTGTGGGCCAGGCACCAAGCATTTCACGTCTGTTAACTCGCTGAGTCCTCACAACAGCCCAGAGGGAGAAGGGATTCATTCTTCCATCCTTTTTAATAGACAGGAAACTGAGACACAGAGAAATGAAGGAACTTGCCCGTGGCCAAACAGCTAGCAAGTCACAGAGCTGGAATTCAAACCCTACCATCTGGCTCCAAGTCTGCTTTCTCGGAGCCATGGGTGGTCTTGCAGGGCTGGCTGCTGAGTGCTGGGTGATGCTTCTGGGACTGGAGGTAGGGGGAGTTAGGGGAGGGCAGAGGAGGCCAGCAGGAGGCAGGCAGGCTGCGGGGTCAGCATGTAGGGGATCCTAGGGGATTTGGTGCCAGCCTCCTGCTTCTGCACAAACAAGTCCACGACACACGCACACCTGTTCCTGGAGGCTGAGCCACTCAGTCTAACCTTCCCCCCACCAGACAGACAAGAAAAACAGGCCCCAGGAAGGTGTCACCGCCACCCAGGCCTAGACTCCCCGCTGCTGCTCTCTGCCCCCAACACCCTCTGGAGACAAACTCAGTACTTCTGAGGGGTGGGTGCATCCAGGAAGCCCACCCAGCTCGTGTGGACGCTGAAGGGTCAGTCCAGCCGCGAATGGGGAGGCCGGGGCAGGGGAGAGCTGGGTCTCTGTGGGATGGGTGCTGTCCTTGTGTCTGGGTCCTGTGTGTACCTGAGTGGGCCTGCGGGGTTGTCTGTGGCTATGTGACCATATCTGTACCAGCCTGCCCGTTTTCTGAGACTTACCTGGCTGAGGCATTTGATGCTGTGACCTCTGCCCTCTGACCTCGTCTTCCCTACCCCCTGCCTTATTTTCTCTACAGCCCATATCACCTCCTCTCGTACTATAGAATTCATGTGTTTATTATCCATCTCCTCCAGAACTAAGCATCCCCTGAGGCAGGATTCTCCCCCATTTGCTAGGTGCTGTGTCCCCAGGGCTCTGTGATGGCACCTGGGCAACTAACTAAAGGTGTAGTTAACCCTTGTAAATGGGTGCTTTCGTGTGAACTCAGCCTATGGCACGTCTTTGTGTCACTGTTGTCCCTGACACTGTGTCTAGGTGATGGCATGAGACAGATAGGCTGGCGGTACCCAAGTGCTGCCCAGGTGGCAGTGACTGCCTCTGCCGGGTGCTGACTCAGCCGCGTCCTGAAGCTTTGGGGAAAGGTGAGGCAGCAAAGATGCTTGGCGCCCCCTCATGGCCACCTTGGGCCTGGCATCCAGCCAGGCCAGCCCCTGGGTCCTGGGTGCTGGGGAGGGAAGAGGTTGGTGGAGGGGGGGCCCTAGCCTGGTGTCACACCCCACCCCAAACCCCCCACAACAGGGAGAAGATGAGCGCGGGCTGCCCAGAGCCCGAGCCACCCCACTCCTTGCCCTGCTGTGGGCCAGGGACTGCCCCTGGGCTGGGCGCAGGCGTGCCCCTCCTCACTGAAGACATGCAGGCACTGACCCTCCGAACACTGGCCGCTAGCGACGTCACCAAGCACTACGAACTTGTCCGGGAGCTGGGCAAAGGCACCTACGGGAAGGTCGACCTGGTGGCCTACAAGGGCACAGGTGAGTGACTGCAGGGCAGCTCGTTGTAAGGCTGGGCCTTAGCTGGGCTCTCGAGCACTCTCTGCAGGGACGCAGAGTCAGAGGTCCAGGTAAAGAGATGTGCCTGGAGCGGCCCAGGGAGGAAGAGACCAGGCTGATGGGACAAAGGAGGAACCTAGCGGCAGAGTGCCCAGACTGGAAGGTGGGCTGCTTTGAGAACCTCCAAGTTGCCTGTGGGAAGCTAAGGGGATGCAGCCAGGGGCATCCAGAGCTCGGGAGGAGGTCAAGGTCAGGGCTGGCAGTGGTGTTTGGGGCATCACTCGCATAGCGGTGATCCCAGGGAGATGGACAGAGCTGAGGGTGGGTTCTCCAGAGCAGGGCACTATGCTTAAAGAGCGGTGGGAATGGCCTGTGAGGGCGTGTGGTCGTGTCTGTTTCTCAGGTGAAGACACAGACCCAGAGAGATTCAGTCACTCGGCCAAGGTCATGCAGAGGGTCTGAGCTGGGATGAGACCCCAGCCATGGGCTCCAGAGCCTCCTTGCTTAACTACTGAGCTTGCTGCCTTCCCCACTCTGTAGGCTCACAGCAGTGCCCGTTCACTCACTCAGTCAGGAATGGGGGCTGCATGGGCTCTCACATCTGCACACACCTGGGGCAGGGGTCTCTGTCATCCGAGAGCAACCAGAGCAGCACTAGACATAGGGTCACGTGAGCTTTGCCACTTGCTGTGTGACCTTAGGCAAGTGGCTTAACCCCTCTGTGCCTAGGTTTCCTCCTCTGTAAAATAGTGCCCAGCTCATAGGGTCATTATGAGGAGTGCATTGTGAATGTGAATTGCTGAAGGCAAGGCCTGTGATGTGTAAGTGCTCTGTGGACACAACGCATGTGTCACACAGCAATGTCCCCAGGTGGGTATAAGTCAGGGACATGTGCCTTGCAGGCCCTCAGCTCTCAGAGTCTAATTCCTTCTTATTCATCCATCCATTCAACAAACATTTGTTGAGCACCTACTATGTGCCCGATGCTTATGGCCACTAGAGAAACAGCAGTGAACACGATGAAGGCCCCTGCCCCCAGGAAGCTGTGTTCCAGGGGGGGGGGGCAGATGAGATAAATCAGTACAGAGTACGGCAAGAAGAATGTGCGAGAGGGTGGAGGGTGCAGCGGGCCCCCCTCCTTCAGGGCTGCAGGCTGGATGCAGAAGGCCTGGCTTGAGCCCCGACTTGCCACATGGCCTCTGACAAATGCGTCCCCCTTGTGGGGTCTGTTTCCTGCCTGTAAGAGGACAGTCATGCCGCTGGGCGCCCTTGCGCCTTGTGGCTGGGACAGGATGTGCAGACAGACGTGGGGATGTGTCAGGTACCAGAGGGCAGGGACAGGCGGCTTCACCACTGTTGCCCTGCCAGGCACGAAAATGGCGCTGAAGTTCGTGAACAAGAGCAAGACGAAGCTGAAGAACTTCCTGCGGGAGGTGAGCATCACCAACAGCCTGTCCTCCAGCCCCTTCATCATTAAGGTCTTTGATGTGGTGTTTGAGACCGAGGACTGCTATGTCTTCGCCCAGGAGTATGCGCCGGCTGGGGACCTGTTTGACATCATTCCTCCTCAGGTACATGGGGTGGGGGCTGAGGGAGGGGCCCCAGAATGTGAGAGCTGAGGAGGAGTCAGGCCACTCATGTAATCAATGAGTATTTACTGAGCACCTACTGTGTGTCAGTAACTGGGGGCTGGGGACTCATAGCTAACAAGACCAGGGCCCCGCTCCGGGCTTGTGGGGGACACAGACCCTTGGCAATAAGCCAGATGACAGACTGCGTGAGCACCAGAAAGAAACAGCCAGACTGGTGAACCAAGTCCATCTGCAAAGGACCCGGTGGGAGCCCAAAACAGGAGGCAGCAGGGCCACCAGAGCTTCCCAGAAGAGGGGCCCTGGAGTGGGGACAGTACCAGGAGCATTCCAGGCACTGGGCTTTGCAAATGGCCAGTGCCAGGTTTGACTCCGCCACCTACTGGATAAGTGACAAGGCCTCTCGGCGCCTCGATGTCCCTACCAGGGAAATGGATGTAATAGCTGCTGGGAGGAGTTGATGAGACAGTGCGGGACGGGGCTCTTAATACAGCACCTGGCCCACAGTGGGTGCTCAGTACCCAGTCAGTCGCTGCAGTTATTGGGGGCAAGGAGGAGAGGTGAAAAACAATGGGGCCAGAAAGGGCACTGGAGATGCCCAGGTAGGGTTGGGAAGGGCAGCGGGTTCTAAGATGAGGGTGAGGCCCCAGGAGAGGCCAGGCCCTGCGGGAGGTGGGACAAGACAGGTAGCGCCAGCTTGCTGGTGGTGCTGGTGGAGGTGGTGGTGGTTGCGCAGGGGGTGCATGGAAGGAGAAGGACCGAATGGGGGAGGGGCTGGTGGCCCTGAGCTTGCCCAACCTCCTCTGGGCCCAGGTGGGGCTCCCCGAGGACACGGTGAAGCGGTGCGTGCAGCAGCTGGGCCTGGCGCTGGACTTCATGCATGGGCGGCAGCTGGTGCACCGCGACATCAAGCCGGAGAACGTACTGCTGTTCGACCGCGAGTGCCGCCGCGTGAAGCTGGCCGACTTCGGCATGACGCGCCGTGTGGGCTGCCGCGTGAAGCGGGTCAGCGGCACCATCCCGTACACGGCGCCCGAAGTGTGCCAGGCGGGCCGCGCCGACGGCCTGGCGGTGGACACGGGTGTAGACGTGTGGGCCTTCGGCGTGCTCATCTTCTGCGTGCTCACTGGCAACTTCCCGTGGGAGGCGGCCTCGGGCACCGACGCTTTCTTCGAGGAGTTCGTGCGCTGGCAGCGCGGCCGCCTGCCGGGGCTGCCATCACAGTGGCGCCGCTTCACAGAGCCCGCGCTGCGCATGTTCCAGCGGCTACTGGCGCTCGAGCCAGAGCGGCGCGGCCCGGCCAAGGAGGTCTTCCGCTTCCTCAAGCACGAGCTCACGTCCGAGCTGCGGCGCCGGCCCTCGCACCGGGCTCGCAAGCCCGCGGGGGACCGCCCACCACCCGCGGGTCCCCTGCGCCTCGAGGCTCCAGGGCCTCTCAAGCGCACGGTGCTGACAGAGAGCGGCAGCGGCTCCCGGCCCTCGCCCCCCGCTGTCGGCCCCGGCCCTGTCCCGGTCCCCGTGCCTGTGCCTGTGCCCGTGCCCATGCCCGATGCCGGCCTGGCTCCCCCGGGACCCCCTGGCAGGACCGATGGCCGCCCAGACAAGAGCAAAGGGCAGGTGGTGCTGGCCACGGCCATTGAGATCTGTGTCTGAGAGCCCGCCATGCCGCCCTCGGGCCGGCGTGTGCACGCAGCCAGGGCAGGCGCTGGAGGCGCCCTGGGCCTGCGCCAAGCCCGGGGTGTCGGCCGCACCGACACCGATCAGCCCCTCAGCGGCAGGAGGGAGTAGTGGTAGACTAGGCAGGACGGCAGGCCTGGGCGCCCGTCCAACCGCGGGGCTGGCAAGACAGCCACCAAAAGGCCTCTGGCCGGCCTGTGTAGCAGGGGCTAGGCCCACAGGAGCCAGCCGCGCAGACCCAAGGATTCAGAGGATCCCTCACAAACACACCAGGAGTCCGGGAGCTTGTGGGCCAACTCACTGACACCTCCCTGAACCCTGGAACCCTGACTAGCTGCTCCTGGCCCTTTGCACCCCCTGGCACACCATCCTGCAGCCCCATCCAGGTCCTGCCCTTCTGCCCCCTCCACACACACACCCTGGGCACAAAGGGGCTGAAGTGTCGGGGCAGAGAAGAGGCGCAGGGCCCCTGGGCACGGGTTGCAAGGAGGACAGTGAGCTGAGGGCTTGCGTCCTGCCCTTCTTGGGAAGCTGCAGGGGAGAGGCCAAGCACATGTCTGGATATGGCGAAAGCTTGTGTGCAGGCACAGGCCCCGGGAATTGAGCGACTCCCCCCAAGCCATTCCCGATGAGGACACTGAGCTAAGGAGGAGGGCAGCAGGCCTTGGGCCACACAGCCACTGAGAGGTAGAGCTCTGGTAGCCCTTCCGCTCCTCCCCAGGGGACAGAGGGCTCCCAGCACCCCTAGGGCAGGGAAGTGAGTGCAGAGTCTGCGGTGGGACCCAGCTCCCTGCCAGTTCCACCTTCCCCAGGCCCAGGGAACCTCTCAGCTCCTCTCCATCCTCGATGCCCAGTCCAGACAGTGGCCTGAGCTTTGGCAGCAGCGAGACAATTGGTGCCAGAAATTTCTCCTGGGTTTCTGCTGGGGCCAAACACGTCAGCCTTGGGCTGACCCCGTCCTCACACCTCCCATGGCTCTGGCCCTGGCGTGTGCCACTGTGGCTATGAGAGCGGGGTACCAAGGAAATGTGAGGGCCGTGAGTGTGTGCTAGGCCCGTGTGTGGTGTCAGCACCCAGAGTGCTCATGCACACAGCCTTGTGTGTTGACTGATGCCTCAGTAACTCCACCCAGCTGCCCGAGGGCATCCAGGCCTGCTTTTCACCACACCCCTCAGGGAATCGGCCAGGAGGCACCTGTAGGCTGGTTCAGGCCCTCAGGCCCCAAAACAGAGGAGAGGAACCCAGCCTCACCCGGCACTCCCTCCTGAGCCCCGCCCTCTCTCTGGAGGCCTGGGACCCCCGCAATAACCTCAGCATGGGCGAGGCTGCTCCCTCTGCCTGGCAGTGCCCCATCCACCATCTCTGGCCCCAACGCCAGGGGCCCTCCTGGGGTTCTAGGCCATTTGAGGGGGCTCCTTCATGTGCCAGGCTGACCAGAGGGGACTCCAACTGCCCTCTGGCCAGGAGCCCCCACCTCTCCATTCATCCCTCATTCCCACTGCACAAAAGGGCTATAGGTCCCCCTGTCCTGCCTGGGTCCAGTTTACAAACAGGTTGCCCCAGGGCCTGGCCCCCCTCCCTTGGTGTGCCCACTCTCAAGACCCACCTCTCCAGCAGGCATTGGGGCCCTCCACACGCCAGGTAAGTAGCAAACCCCTCCTCCGACTAAGGGCCACGGCCCCCCATCACTGTCCCCGGCCCACCGGGAGCCCATCCAGGCACCTCTCCCAGTCCGACTTCTCCTTTTGCCTTAGGCCTCTCGACATCCTGTCTCCTGCAATAACAAGGAAGCGAGATTCCAAGTAGACGTCCCTCATGTGCGCCCTCTCTCTCTCTTTCTCTGTTGAGACCCTCGTCTTAGTAGCTAGGATGTTAGAGTTGGGAAGGGACTGTAGTTACATAGCCCAGCCCTGTTGTCAGAGGCACAGATGGGGCAGTGACGGCCTGATGCAGAAGCAGGCCTGGAGCCAGGTCAGCTCCTTTGCTGCCAGGGCCCCCCTGCTGCCTGTGCTGCTGGCTGGGTTGGTACCCTTTGCCCCTTAGGAGAGGTGTTGGTCACAGATGTTTACCTCAGTTTATGTCATTGTCGAAGAAAAGAAAAATAAATAGCAAAAAGTTAACACCATAGACATGAAGACTTAGAAGACAAAAAAATTCACGAAAAAATCCTCCCCTTATGATTCTTCTGTGACAGTGTGTGTGTGTGTGTATGTCTGTCTGTCCCAGCCCTTGTGCCCCCCACACTGCCCCCCGTCCTTCGGTGCTTCCCAGAGGCCCCTCTGAGCTGGCCTGTAAGGTGTGGGGAGCCATCTGGGTGGGGAACAGAGCCACATGTTAGCGAGAGGGTCTTCCACCAGGCCCCTGAGCAGAGCCTCAGGGCCAGTACTCTGAGCCCCATGCTGTGGCCAGCGGCACAGCTATGGCTGCTCCGGCATCCAGGCCTGGCTCAGGGCCTGGGTAGACTCCTGACCCGGCACCCTCACTTATTGCCACCTCCCCCACTGCGTGTATGTAAATACTCTGGCATCCTTTGGCCCTGAGGAGGTTTTTAAATGTGTTATTTACTTCTCTAATCATGACAATTGCTATAAAATAAACATGTTTAGAAAAATGACCACTGGGTGGCTGTATTGTCTCAGGTTCAGGGTAGGAGTGCACCCAGAATTACTCTGGAAACTGAAAATGACAGGTGTTCTAAGGTGGGGTCTGCAGAGCCTGGGACCTCAGACCCACAGTAAATGCAGGCCAGGGCTGGAGCAGGAAGGAAACAGGGATCTGGGCTCTGGGGACAGGGCAGGGAGGGGTCCCTGGCCTAGAGTCCCGTTTGGAGCCCTTTAGACTGGGCAGGAAAAAGAAGCAAGACCCCAGAGGAACAGAGAGGGCTATCCGGTAAACATTTCCCGAGCATGTTCTGTCTATCGGGCTGCCTACTAGGGACGGGGAGATGGCAGTGAGCAGGCCAGGTGGGGCCCTGTCTGGGGCAGCCAGCAATCTAATGATGGAGCAGACATTACCCACACCTAAGGGATGGCGTAACTGGGAAGCTCATCAAGCTTGGAGAAGTTGGGAGCCCCCTGAAGACCGAGCCCAGAGGATTCGGAGTTGGGCATCAAGCAGAGTGGGCGAGGGAAGCTGCATGGGCAGCGGCTGCAGAGGCAGTGGCCAAGTGCAGCTCTAAACGGGAGCTGGAGCAAGCTGCATAGGTTCACGATTCCACATTCCCAGAGTAGGTACGTGTGAATGACCTGTCAGCACCACCGTTCTGGTGGTTCCGCCTTCAGATACAGGTCTACGCAGCATCTGAGCAGTGTAACCGCCGGGATCGCCCTCTCTGGACGCAGCCATCCCCTGCTTCCCTGTGACATGGCTCCTCGCTAATGCCCCAGCCCCTCTCCTGAGCCTCATCAGGCTCTTCTCAGTACAGCAGGCAGTCTTTCCTGTCACATTGTTCGAATGACCCTGCGATAAGCCCTCCTCCACCCAAATCAAAGCTGAAGTCCTTACAGGGGCCTCCAAGATCCCACCTCCCCTCTGCTCCTCCCCTCTGCTTTCTTCGGCCACACTGGCCTCTAGGCCGGGCAGAGTGCTCTCTTGGGCTTCTGCCCTTGGACTCTCCCAGACCTGAGCCCTCTCCCCGCTTCAAGGGTTTGCTCCAATGTCAGCCTCCTGAGGACCTACGTGGAGCAGAAGCATTCTGCTCTGCACTCAGCGTCCCTCCAGCTCCCCCTGCCCCCAGAGTGGAAGTTCCATAAGAAACAGTGTGTGGCCAACTGCTACTCCTCTCCCACCCCGTGCCTGGCACATGGCAGGCCCTTCATCACGATTTGTCAGATTTATCGAATGAATGAATGAATGGATACCCAATACTATTTCAGGGGCCAATGATACATCAATAAACAAGACAGACCATCTCTACCCCCTGAAGCTTTCCTTTCCTGCCCATCGTCTTCAGTCTAGACAAACTCAGTCCATCAAAAAGGTATGTATGACATTGAACTTCAGGAGAGAAGGGATTGTATTCTTGATGATTTTTTTTTTTTTTACCCACGATGCTCCTTGAACCCTATGCAAAATTTCCCAGCTCCTCACCAGTGACCGCTAAGCATGGCAAGACAAGGGATACTAGAAGGGGCAGCCTCAAAGACCCCATCACGCCCTTCAACTCAGGGTAACAGATGCCTCCTCAAGTTACATCACTGAGGGAGAGGCGCCAAACAGCATCTTTTTCTCTCAAACATGTAAAGCCCCACCCACCCATCTAGCGCCTGGTTCAGAGTGGAAATGTGGGCATAAGACAAGTAATTTAGAAGAATTTACTGGCAGCTGAGGGGAGGAGATGTTCACACCCCCCCAGCCTCGGGTTACTGGAGCTTAAGGGTAATGAAGAAATTGAGGGGTTTCCTTTTGGAGACATAGAAGGGCACCCTACAGGGAGAATTAGGCAGTGTAATTCACATACTATATTGTATACTTGAAATTTGCTGAGAGTATATCTTCAGTGTTCTCACCACAAAAAAAAAAATTCTAACAATGTGAGGTGAGGGATATGTTAATTAGCTTGATAGTGATCATTTCACAATATATGCATGTATCAAAATATCAAGTCGTATACCCTAAGTGTATACAATTTTTACTTGTCCATAATACTTTAATAGTAGGGGCCGTTCAGGTGGCTCAGCTGGTTAGAGCACGTACTCTTAACAAGGTTGCGGGTTCAACTCCTGCATGGGATGGTGGGCTGCGCCTCCCACAACTAGATTGAAAGTGGCGACTAGACTTGGAGCTGAGCTTGCGCCCTGCACAACTAAGATTGAAGGACAACAGCTTGATTTGGAGCTGATGGGTCCTGGAAAAACACAATGTTCCCCTTCCCCAATTCCCCAATAAAATCTTAAAAAAAAAAAAAAAGTAATAGGCTGAGCACAGCCTGATTCAGAAGACAGTGAGCCCAGCTTGGTAATCCTCATGGAGGGGCCTGGTTGTCCTTAGGGTGTGGTAAAGGGCTCCCGTTTTTCTCTTTTGATGTTTAAAGAAAACAGAGGGTGACTACAGTAGGTGGAAGATTTGGGCTTATCTTTAATTACAGTTGTGATAAGGACCATGAGATGCCACAAGTAATATAAGATGTAGTGGATAGCTGCTGGTTTTGCCTGTTCAGTGCCCATTCCCCCTTTTTTGGGGTGACAGCATCCCAACTTTCCCTTCCATGTGGTTCAGGGGGGGCTGACTCCTTGGCACCATGGAGTGACCACATGAGCCGGGTCTGGTCAACCAGCATATTGCATCCCCTGAGCCCCAGACATGGGCTCAGGCATAGACATACAACCAGGGTTAGGCAGCTCCTGGCTTTGCTCTACACCTATTAGGGAAAAACGTGTTCTCTTTTCATTGGAGTTAAGCTTGTGTACTGTAAGCATGGACGTGCTGGCGGCCATCTTTGCCACCCCCCAGGGAAATTGTGGCCAAGCATTGAAACTACAGAATGAATGAAGCAGGGCCAAGAGATGAGGAAAAGGGGTGACTGGTTAGCTCACTTGGTTAGAGTGTGGTGCTGATAACACCAAGGTTGCCAGTTCGATCCCCGCATGGGCCACTGTGAGCTGCGCCCTCCCTAAAAGAGTCAACTATGCCATTATAGCATGAAAGCAATGTGTAACCAATGAGCATGGCTGTTCCCCAATAAAGTTTAAAAAGAAGAGAGAGAGAGATGAGGAAAGATGGGTTCTAATGACATCATTTGAACACCAAGATCCATGACTGAAATTAGATTGAAATGGGCTTTGCAGTGATGTGAACCAACCTATTCTCCCAAATCCATTGGAGTTTGGTGTCTGTCGCTTGCAAGTAAAGGAGTTCTGTCTGGTACCCAGAGAACCCTCATCTGTAAGATCCCTGGAGCTAACAGCATCTATGAGACCTGGCACTGTAGCAGCTCCTGGTCAACACAATTACTCAAGCACTAGAAGCTACTGAGCCCTTCTCGAATTAGATGCTCACTTCTGAGGCTGAGATTACTGGCATATTCCTCAGGACCCATTTGGTCACAAATGCCAGAAAACCCAATGCAGACTGGTTGATTTGAAACTAATTTGAAAAAGAAAAGTCCAGAAGTAGAACCAGTTTCAGGTGCAGCCAAATGCAGAGGTTTCAATGCCAACAGCAGGACAGGCTTCTCTCTCCATCTGCCCTGCTTCTGGGGAGTCTTATCTCTGGGCTTCTTCCTCCCTCCCTGTGGTACGTGCCCAAGCAGAAAAGGGGCCCTATTTCTTTGCCACAGTAGGACTGACAGAGGAAAGCAGAGAGGAAAGGCAAGAGACAATGATGAAGATAAAAATATATAAAATCCTTACCAATTTTCTGGTTCTAAATTCCTACCCACATGAGACTTGCTTCCTATACTTGCATTTCATGATAATATATTCTGGGCCCTCGTAATATATCTGCATTTTTTTTAACTTTATTGGGGAAGAGTGTGTTTTTCCAGGACCCATCAGCTCCAAGTCAAATCGTCTTCAATCTAGTTGTGGGGGGCCCAGCTCCTTGGCCCATGTGGAAATCGAACTGGCAACCTTGGTGTTATGAGCCTGCGTTCTAACCACCTGAGCTAACCGGCCACCCCTATATCTGCATTTTTGCTTAAACTAAGTTGGAGTGGTTTTCTGTCACAACCAAAAGGAACCCTAGATGCATGCTTACCATTTGTATCTGGCTTTTCTTTTTCTCATAAACATTTTCTAAGTGGCTCTAGAGGCTGCCTCATAACCACCATTTCAGTCCTGACAATGTCCTCCTGCATGGATTTCCCCTAATTTATTTACCCACCTTCTTACTATTTGTTACTTGAGTTACTTCTAATCTTTCACTATTAAAAAAGACCCCGCAGTGAAATTCTTCATCATTTTGCCTTTCTTTGGGGTAGCTCTTCAGGATAAATTCCCAAAAGGACAATTTCTAGGTCAATTGGCATGAACATTTTTATGGTTCTTGACAGATGTCACCAAATTCTTTTTCACAAAGTTGTCCCTACCTCTTTGGGAAACAACTTGGCAATTGTATTTTACAATGCATAACTGTCAGGCGGCCAATTAGCTCAGGTGGTTAGAGCACAGTGTTCATAACACCAAGGTTGCCAGTTCGAGCCCCACATGGGCCACAGAGCTGAGCCCTCCACAACTAGATTGAAACAACTACTTGACTTGGAGCTGATAGGTCCTGGAAAAAACACACTTTTCCCCAATAAAATTTCTTTAAAAATAAAATAAAATGCATAACGCTTGTAAAAATCCTAGATCCCATAGGATACCAGAGAACTGAGGGGAGGCTTAGGTCCCTGGAAATGAGGGTCATACATCTGTATGTTGGTCCTGGAAGGATTCAGAGGTGCCCTCTCTGCAAACACAGACCTGATGCCCTGCAGCCACTCTCCACCTGAGATTCCCAGGCCCCTTATCTCCTCCCAATCTCAGAAGATGCCCCAACTTGCTCTGCATTCACCTGCTACCCCTCCAATCCCTGGGACAAACTATCTGAAGTGACCTCCCTTCAGTGACCTTGGAGGTGCAGTGCTGGCTCCCTTCCTGGGGTGGCGATGGGGAAAGAGGAGTTTCTTTCCTA